GGGGGGCCCCCAGGGGGGGGGGGGGGCCCCCAGACCCGCAGTGGCAGGCATGGGGGCCCCCGGCAGCTGGATGGCTTCTTATGGGTCTGAGCCGCTGGACCCTCAAGCAGCAGAGGGCCGTTTGGCGGAAGCAGCAGCAGGCCCTGCTGCAGCAGCAGCAGGAGCGGCGCGGCACTGCTCGAGCGCAGCAGCAGCAGCAGCAGCAGCAGCAGCAGCAGCAGCAGCAGCAGGGAAGCGGCGCTGGAAAGCCCTGGCTGGCAGCGTGCGGCTGCTGGGGGCCCTCGTGACTTGGTTTTGTTTGCTGCTGTCAGTGGCTTCTTTGCTGCAGCTGAAGCCCGCGGGGGCCCTCCAAGTGCTGCAGGTTGCTGCTCCTGCTGCTGCTGTGCTGCTGTTTCTTTCTCCTGCTGCAGCAGCAAAAAGGGCCCTCAGAGACGCAGACACCACCAGCCTTCCTGCTGTGGTTTTTGCTGCTCAAGCTGTGTCTTGTGCTGTTGCTCTGGTCTACGGCATGCAGATCAGCAGCAACGCCATTTTCATCACAAACGCAATGGGTCGGGCCCCGCTGCTGCTGCTGCTGCTGCTGCTGCTGCTGCTGCTGCTGCTGCTGCGGGGGTGCAGCGGCGGTCGATCGAGCTGCTGCTGTCGTTGCTGCCGTTGCTCGGCAGCTGCATTTGCTGGGGCTGCTGCTGCTGCTGCTGCTGCTGTACTGCCTGCGACTGCTTTGGCAGCCCCCGTGCTGCTGCAGCTGCTGCAGCTGCTGCTGCTGCTGCTGCAGCTGCTGCTGCTGCTGCTGCTGCAGCTGCTGCTGCTGCAGCTGCTGCTGCTGCAGCTGCTGCTGCTGCAACGGGCGGCGCTGCTGTTGCTGTTTTGCTATGTTTATTTTCAACGGCCTAACGTGCCGCATCTGTTTCGCGCATTGTTTGTGCTCCCTGCTGCTGCTGCTGCTGCTGCTGCTGCTGCTGCTGCTTCGAACTCTAGGGTTTTGCTGCTGTGTGGGTTTTGCGGCTCAGGACTACTGACTGAGGTGTGCTGGCTGGCTGTGTGGGCCTCCTGCGTGCAGCAGCAAAGCGAGTCGCGCTGCGCAAGTCGCAGCGGGGTGGGGGGGGCCCCCCTCGTGGCTGCGGCGGGCCGTGGGGCCCTCCCCAGCCCTCGCAGACTCCCCCAGAGGCATTGCCAACTCGCTGCAACGCAGGGGCCCCCAAAGGGGAAGCAAATCAAAACCCAGTCATTCAAATTTGCCCACAAGCCCGAGGCTGGGGGGCCCCCCTTGTTTGGGAGTGGGGGTTTGTGCTGCTCCGCAGCAGAAGCTGGGGCCCCGCGCTGCTAACGCGCGGCAGAAGAGGCCCCTGCAGCAGCAGCAGCAGCAGCAGCAGCAGCACGCAGCAGGCGCTGCTGCTGCAGGGGCCCTCAAGGGCAGCCCCCGGGGGGCCCTCAGCACTGCGGGGCCCTCTGCTGCGTCGCTGCACCGCAGCGCGAGCGTCAGCAACTGTTTGAACCGCAGCAGCAGCAGCAGCAGCAGCGAGGGGAGCGGGGACAACAGCAGCAGCAGCAACTTGCCCACGGAAGCCGACCGCAACAGCAGCAACAGGTGGCGGTGCAGCAGCAGCAGCAGCAGCAGCAGCAGACTCCGGAGAAGGCGCTGGCCCCACAGGGAGCCCTGCTCTGCTGCTTCCCTCACATTGGTCTTGTGCTGCATTCGCTGGTTCGGTTTGCTGCTGCTGTCTTCAGCCCCGCTGCTGCTGTTCCTGCTGCTGCTGCCCATCGACTTCGTTGGCTGGCTGCAGGTTCCCGCAAGTCTTTGCCTCTTTGGCTCCCACATACCCCGCCTGGTAAATTCAAATTTAACTTTTAAAAGTCAAAATTAAAACAATTTTCATTTCTGGCGACTGGAGAGAGAATAGTCTTTTGCGGCGACTGCGAAGTGCGCGTTTTGGAGTGTCTGTACACCTGAAAAGCCCGTTTTGCATGCGCAGCTTTCCACTTTGGCGATTTGAATTGTTTTTGGATTTATTTATTCTTTTTTTCTTTTTTATTTTGTTATTTTGTCCTTTTTTGCCTCGCAGTGCTTCATGATCCAGGCCAAGTCCCACGAGTGCCTCCCCGTGCCCCTCGTTCTCATGGGGGTCTTGTGCAACGGCTGCTGGGCGCTGCTGGGGTACATTTCGGGGCTGAGTGCAGTTTGCTGCGTCGGCGTTGTGGGTGGGTTGCAAATAAAAACATTAAAATTAATTAAAATAATATAAAATAATTCAAAATAATTCAAATAAATTCAAATAATTCAAATAATTCGAAACATACTCAAGAAACTTCGGGGGTGGCTGGGGTTTGCCCGAACTTGAATGTTTCGGCTGCTTTTTTTTTTCTGAATTTCCGCATTTCATTTCTTAAATGCTTTTTGCACTTCCTTATTCGAAATGAATGTGAACTTGGTGGATTTGTTGCAGAAGAATTTGAGCAGTTTGCGTTTGTTTGAGCTGTCTGTACACCGGAGCGCCGTGAAAGCGTGCCTGCTGGATGCAGCTGTCTGTACACCGGAGAGCCGCTGAAAACGCGCATTTTTCGGCATTTTTTTTGCCACTTTTTTGCATGCAGAGTATCTTTTTTTTGCCACTTTTTTGCATGCAGGGTATCTTTTTTTTGTCACTTTTTTGCATGCAGGGTATCTTTTTTTTGTCACTTTTTTGCATGCAGGGTATCTTTTTAGTGCCCTTCAAATGCACGTCATTTGGTGGTCCAAAGGCACAATAACTTTTGTCGATTTCGAGTTCATGGGCGGCGGCCGCTGCGCCCCAAACTGCAGAGAAGATGAACACCCCTCCCCCCCCCCCCGGGGT